TTTGCTGTTGCCTCTCTGGTTTCTAAGCTAAGGTTCCATGCTACATTATTTACTTCACTACGTACTTCACAGGAGAACTGAAGCCCGGCCAAAAGGAAGATCTGGAATTACCATTATTTGACTTGGCCGCTGTTGTTTGTGCAACCAAAAACTTTTCAAACAACAATAAACTTGAAGAAGGTGGTTTCGGATCAGTCTTTAAGGTAAAATCAAATACAGTTCTTCCTACAGTTAGCTTGACAGTTTCCACATGTCATTTGGGTCAGGACTAAGGTGGTGTAATTTTTATTTATTTTTTTCTGCTCTTTCGTGGGTTGGTTTTGTGTTCCTATGCAAGAGGAGGAGGAGACAAATCTTTCTTTCTTTCTTTTTTTTCTTCTATCAGCAAACAAGAGGGCATGATCAAATGTCAAAATCTATAACAGAAATGCAATATCCAAAGAATGAAAAGCAGTCCAACCAAGAACCATCAATGGATGAATATTGAATGCATAAAGATTTATCAAGTTTCAAGCAAGAAGAACCAAACCAATCGATCTATTGCTTAACCAAACCAGAAATAAATAGTCAGAATTTGAGATTGGGGCCTAAAAACCGAACCTTGTTATTGGCAAGACCATAGAAACTCCATGTTAGGATAGCTTCATCATTTCCTTCCACCGAAGACAGACACCAAGTCAGCAAATTTTGTATTTAGGGTTCCCATGACTTGTGCTTGCTTCGGCTTCCAAATCTCAATCTCAAGCTCAAATTTGCAGGTAAACTTTTTCAATTTCGTGTTGCAGACTTTCAGTCAATCGCAGTGTTCAAAAAATGGGGCTAGGAGGACGGCTAGGCGGCTAGGCGGGCTCTAGGCGGCTAGGCGGGCGCTAGGCAGCTAGGCAGGTGCTAGGTGGCTGGGCGGGCCTCCTAGGTGGGTTGGGTCATTTTCCGGTGCCGAACAAGGAGGACGAAGCAGCCGAAACTTGACTGCGTCTGCAAGCTCCGTCCAATGCCAGTATTGTGTTTGTGAATGGCAGGACTGTTTGTCTCTGTCTCTATTGACTGGGAACAGTTTGCAAGTAAGATATGTTTTGATTGTGTTCTTACAATCTATACATAAACAATCTTAAAAAACACCATGTTCTGCATGTTTTTGTTCATTCCTGACAGCAATTGTCGCTCCAAGGCATTAGATATCCTCATGAAGGATCTCAAAAGTTTTTTTCTCCCATCGTTTATAAATTTCCTGTCTTTTTAGAATGATCGTGTGCAGTAACTAGTTTTTATAGTTCACTCATGAATCCTGCTAATGTGATTCTTCAGTCGGAACCTGGGGGTGTTGGAGACATAGGACTATGGGATGT